CTTGATGTCTTGAAGTTCCGGCATGGACTAGCTTTTATGTATTTTTAGCTTCTTAGAAATTCTTAGATTTAGTAATTTGATCATAGATGTTCTTGTGATGATGACTTCCAGATTTTGGGAAATAATAGCTATTGAATTGGTTTTTATTAATGAGTTTAAGTCTTCCGTATTATTTTATGATGATATTACATTGAAATGTTAAGGTTTAGATTGGTTGGTTCGCTCACATAGAAGGGTAAGTGTGGGTGCCAGTCGCGGCTCGGTTTTGGGTCGTGACAGTTTAAAATACTATATATACCAATATAAAGTAAAATTTGAACAATTTATATAGCTTAATCGTCTGACAAAGGGTCTGAAATGGACGCCCTGACACCACCCGAAGCTCCGCCTATATTTGGAGAGTCCGAGCAGCATAGACACTCTAGCTAACAGTGATTGAGCTTATCACATACACGTGATTGATAAGTGCTTGATAGATAATCATATCAACTTCAAAATTCCATGTCTCCTTAGTTGGAATCAATCCTAGCTTTTGTCACTTTGTGTAATTCAAAGAATACAAATTAAATACGATTGCAAAGGAGATGAACCTATGCATTCCAAGTGTGAATAAACAGTTCACACCAAAACCAATGCTAACCATACAAAGATTATCCACTATAGCGAAACAAGAACAAAAAAATAAAATTATAGTAAATCAACATACGTACCCAGATTGTTCAACAGTAAATTCGCCTGAAGCAATACGAGCAGATAATTCAGCTCGCCTTTTCTCATCTAAAAGCTTTTCCACCTTTTTGACTCCTTCATCTACCGACTCAGGCTGTTTTCCATTAGAATTAGAACACCTAATTGTAAAATTTGATACACTACCCTTGAATTTAGGTGAGAGAGTGAGTCTAGATTTAGAGTAATGGTGTGTTGGAAATTGAAAAAGAGGAAGAGAAGAAGCCATGAATGAGAAAAAGATGGAGATAATGAAGAGTGTAGTTAACAATGTGGCGCACTCAACAACCGCTAAAAAGTAATTTGGAATTATGGAGGGTTGTTACTGTAAAGATACCGGCAGCCGTCTAAAGGTATCTATCTATATTTGTTTTGGTTATTACGCCATCTAACTAAATTATTTGAGATGCTTTAATTTAGACTATGTTTACGATTTTCTCTCGTAACTAATTAAGCACATGTCACATGGTGTGAACTTTACGGACTATCTAAAAAGTTTAATATTTTGTGTCGAAAATATTTATAAATGAGAATATTTTGTTATTGTTGACACGTGGTTAGTGAGTCATTTATTTATTTTAAAGCTAGAATAATAAAATTAGAAGTAGAAGAATTAAAAGAAAAAAAAGAGAAAATTATATTGGTCCCAACAAACGTAATAAATTGAATTAAATAAATATAAAAATGCAATAACACTAAATTGTGGGGTCCACGTTATATAGCCTTTCTTTTTCTTCATCGTCACGAACTCACAAGTCATGCTTCTGCTATATGATAGATTCAATTTAGTAGATTTTAGGCAATTTCATAATGTCAAGGGTTAATTATTCGTATTTTTATTTTTTTTTAAATTATAAAATTTAAATATTTTAAAATATTTTTATTTTATCGTATTTTAATTTTGAATATATTTTTTAAGTCTTAATATATCATGTATAGTGATGTATCCAACTGATATATCGTATAAAGTGATGTATCGAATCGATACATACCGTAAAGTGATGTATCAGATTGATGCATTACGTAAATTAATGCCCTGGTATGTAAAGTGATGTATCCAACTGATAAATCGCGTAAACTAAACGCTCCGCTGCATCGCATAAAGAAATACATCCGATTAATACATTGCGTAAAATAGAAACTTTTGTAATTGTTTCAAATCGTAGGAAATTTTGGGGAATATGGTGAAATAAGTTATGTATTTAGGTAGGTTTTCCTTTTATTTGTGATACTTCAAATAATTCTATTAGAAAAATTATTATTAGAAACAAAGATTTTTTCGAATCAATAGAATATTTATGTTATCAAATATGTTGTTCTCGCCATTGTTTATCGAATTGAAACATGCATCTCGAAAAACAAATTTTCACTAGAATAGTAGAGAGCTTTTATATTTTTTTCATACGAAATATTTACTATTTATTTCCTTTTATACCAATTCAAGCAAAATGTCAGGCACACATTTGGTAGGTTCAACTCTCTTCCTACAATCTACAACAGAACTATTAATAGAAGTTGAAAATAATACTTTTCTTAGAAATTGGAAAAAAAAACACAAACTTTTGAGAATTATATTTTTCTTTTCCCCAACTAATTAGACAAACACATATCATCTGTGGTCTGTTCTCTGCATTCCATCAAAACCAATTTGAACTTATATTTGTGAAATAGAAATAACAACAATTCTACTAAGGAAACAAAAGCAGCAAGCATTACACCATTTATTTCCCCTTTCCTGTTGAGTCTGTCTTACATCATAAATCGAACCAAGCATTTCGAAAGCCAGAAGGCAAATCAAGAAAACACACTGACATTATTACCAAGTCTTGGTCACCCTAGGTAACAGTTGAAAATAAGAACTTGTCTATATTATGCATCAGTTTAAAGAGAACCGTCTATGGATTAAATGTACATGCCTTTGTAAGGATCTAGAAGAAAATAAATAATATGAGACTTCACCCTCCAAGCAAGACTGGACTATGTTCGGGTTTTCACAGCCTTCCACAGCTGCACCCACTCCACCATGGAATCAGCTGCACGGGTGAACACAGGATCTATTCGTCCCAGTTGCTCCTTCACGGCTGCTGCAATCTCAATCACACAATCTTCTGCTGTTTTTGCTGCCGGAGTCAATTTCATTGATTGGAAGAATGGAACAACTTCTTCCATCAGCTTCACCCCCTCCCACTCTTTCTTCAAACTCCCTATGGCATTACCTCTTTCTTTCCTCCACACATATGGAAGCCCAGTTTTCACACCATATCCTAAGTGATCACATACTACCTTAACACACATTCCAGTCCATACATCCTCCACAGTTTCCCACCTGAACTTTCCTTCCTTTGCCAACTTGAAAGATGGCAGCAAAGCAGGTCCCACCAATTCACGATCAAACGCTATATTGATTCCGCTCATAGGCATCATGGCCCTAGCTGGTACAGTGAGGACAGCGTCAACATATCGAGTGTTTCTCAGCTCCGGCTTGAGGGCTTGTGTAGGTGCATCAAGATCTGCTAAATTAAGCCACAGTCCACATGATAGAGCACACGAGACACCATTTCGCAGGCTAAATGGGTAGCCACGAACAAAATCAGCTCCTTTACAGAAAGGATCATAGAGGGTATTAAAGAAAAATGGGGTGGCAGGAGTCGAGAGGTTATTGATATGTTGTGCTATGGCATCGACTTGGATACCCTTAGTATCCTTAGCTGGAATGCAGTCATCATCAATTGAGATGATATATTTCTTCTTTGACAAGAGATAGCCAAAATATCGGCACGAATAACCAGAAAAAGTTGCAGCATTTGAAGGTCCAATAATTTGTTGAATATCAGCTTTTGTATAGGTATCATAATTAAATCCACCTGGAATTTTAAGTTCTCCTTTGATGTCAGGATCTTTGATAATTATCAGGTGAAATCGGGAGAATACTGCTCTCCATTCTTCCAGAAATGAAGTAAGATCTGGTTCAATTGCAGCTATCACAATATCTACCTCATCATCTCTGACGCTAACTTGAAACATTTTTCAAGGCTAGAAAAGCAAAAGCAAGAACAGGATTTGTTGCCTTGAGAATGGAGAGAGCCTTTTGCAATAATAACAATTGCTTGCTACCGAACAATATCAGAATTTCTCAGAGCATCCTGAAATAAAGTAGTTATAAAGATTACATCATGAATTATAATGCATGAATTATAATGCACTACAGAAGGAATTTTTTAGAAACACTTACTAGTAGGAAGCACAGGAGTAAGAACACATTGGATGTTAAATGCGCCAATTAGTGAAAGGATTTCTTCTTTTCCAGTTGCAATAAACAGCTTCAGAATCTTCTCATTTAGCTTCCCAGCTCTCAAGGTCCTCTGCAAAGAACAAAAAAGTAAAACTGTTATCACATTTGAACCTACTCCAACATGATTTAGTAGATGGATATCTTCACAAAAATTTACAGAGTTTGTCATCATTAGATCTGCCCAAGGGAGGTTTTCCAGGTCTCATTGGGGAATTTAATAATTTTAATAGTGAACATACGGAGCAGTAACTGCATTAATAGTCCACAGCTAGTATATATTGGTATAAACTACAATCTGTATGCCATAGAAGTTCAGACAGTGTCATATAGTTATGATGCAGAAAGAAGTCAGGCGTGAGATATGCCTACTAATTTTGCTTGGTGAATACCACTAGGAATACATTAAGATGACCTGCCACAGATTTACAGGTTGAAAATCTAACATGTGATGAATAGCACTAAAGTAGAAAAGTGACACAACTATGTCCAAGTAACTGCAGAAGTATAAATCATGTAACTAACTCGCCTGGTTCAGAATTCAGAAACATCAGCTACTCCAACAATTAAGACCTTACTCAACGTTTAATTTGTGCATTAAGATGCCTACTTCTACTCATTAAGATTATAAGGAAGTAACTCTGCAACAGCTCATAGCTTGTCCGTGCAGATGATATCTAATTTCTTTTATTGGATCAGTGTTTGAGTTCTGCCTTTTTAGGGCAAAGATGGAAAAAGAAATCCTTTCTTTCTTCATTTTGAGAGAATACCAAACCCAATCACATCAAAATTCAGTACAAATAGCTATTCCCCGAGGATTCTTGCCGGCCAGCACTTGGCTTGATGAACTCGTTTGATGGTGTACATTTGTGAGCACTAGTACTTGTGGGGTTGAAGTACGGAACCATCAACCATGGTGTACAGTGTGAGCACTAGTACTTATGGGGTTGGAGTATGGAAGACAATTACAGCTCTATGGCCTGAGCTGGAAAGAAACTTACAAATAATAGTAGGAAATGGAAAAAGAATAAAATTCTTCAGGGAAGCTTGGAAGGAGACATTAACACTGATGGAGACCTTATGAAGTTTGGAGTGCGCTGGAACTTAACCGTCGGAGATTGCTGAATGACTGGGAGATTGAAAGGATGGCAGCTTGTTAGGTAGGATTGGTGATTTCAATGGGACTGATTCTGAACTGGACATCTTGAGATGGAGAAAGAATAAAGATGGAGAATTCACTCTAAACAGCGCATATAGAAATGAGGGCATGGTGCAGAATGGAGAGCTGCCAAATTATAAAGTGACATATGGAAATGCCCCATCCCAACCATAGCAAAATGCTTCACTTGGTCTATGGCTAAGAGAGTCTGTTTGACACATGAAGTTTTGAAGAGAAAACGAGCCATCAGTCTCCAGATGTTTCTTGTGCAAGGGAACAGATGAAACCAACAATCATGTATTTCTACATTGCAAATTCACTGCACAGATTTGGTTCTTATTTCTAACCTAACTGAGACAAGATGGACTATGCATGAACATACAGCAGACTAGCTAAGCTGTTGGATAAAATGAGGTGGAAGCAAGAGCAAGAAGAAGTAGAGGAGGATAATTCCGTAGTGTATCTGGTGAACAGTTTGGAGAGAGAAATGGGGAACATTTTGAAGATAGATTCAACTCCATTTAAAAAGTTAAATGAAATTATCTAGTATCTTTCTACTTTTGGGGTAAAAAGTTGTGACTAGAGGATTTAGACCATTTTGTAGAATTATTAAGATCCCACATAGTTACCAGTTTCAAGAAAAACAATATGGACAAAAGAAGAGTTGTAAAGTCCTTGATACACAACTTGAATGTTGACATCATTTGTGTTCAGAAAATAAAATTAGAAGGTGGTATAAGGGAGAGCATAAAAGAGATTTGGAAAGGTCACATGGGTGAGATTTGAATGCCTAGAAGCTAATGGTACCAGAGGGGTATATTGATGTTATGGGATGATGGAATTTGGAGAGGGACCTCTTTTCAAATTGGTTCATATACCTTAACTTGGAAGTCTGAGGCACTCTTTCCGGATTTTTGAGTGTTAGGGTATATGCACCAAATTACAGATATGAAAGAAAATGTTAAGGAAGAGATAGGAGGAGTTAGGGGCTTGATGGGTGACCTTTGGCTGTTTGTGGGACTTCAACATCTCAAGATTTCCTTTAGAAAAGATAAAACAGTAGCAGGGGATTTCCAGCTATGGTGAACTCAAATTTTATAGAGGATATGACATTCACAGAACCCTAACTGGAAGGGGGCACTTAACCTGGTTAAAGGGTGAAAATCATATGATTGCTTCAAGAATTAACAGATCAGTTTTGTTCAAAAGAGTGGGATAATAGATTCAGTAATATCGCACAACTTCTACAAAGAATTGATTCTGATCACATCCATATAACACTGCAATATGGTGCCAGGGAACAGAACAAATCATACTTCAAATTTGAGAATTGGTGGTTGCACACTAGAAGTTTTGTGGACAGCATTAGAGAATGGTGAACCTCTTTTGATTTTGCAGGCAAGTCTGATTAAATTCTGGTTTGCAAGCTCAAAGCACTTAAAGGCAAGCTAAAGGAATGGAGTAGAAGCAGTAAATTCCAGGGAACTTGGAATTTCAGAAGGCTCCAATTTTGAATCAACTTGCTACAATAGATGTTGTCCAACATAATAGACCACTCTCAAATAAGGAATCAAGCCACCCTTCTGACGGAGTATGATGAACACATCAAAATCTAGAGCTATGTTGGCTTTTAGGTGACAACTTCCAAAAAGTGATCAATGCACAAGAGAAGTAATCACATAAGTCAATTAGTGATACGAGATGTAACAATGGAGGAACCAGAAGGAATTAAGAGGGTGATCATTGAATTCTAGCAAAATTTCTATTCTGAAATTGCTGAATGGAGACCTGCCAAAAGTCTAAGCAATCTTATCAACTGGCCTACCTATACTGAAGAAGAGAGAATCACTACAGGGTGTCTTCGAGGAACATGAGGTGCTTACTTGCCTGAAGATGAAGATGTGTGCCATGGATAAAGCTCCTGGCCAAGATGGCGACACGATGGGTTTCTTATCAAATGTTGGGAGATAATTGAACATCATATCATGGAAACTTTCCCTAATGACTAATGAAGTGCACTCTCTCTTTGGAGTCAGTCTGTGGAGATCTATTAGAGTATTGTGCCCTTTATGAGGAATCACACTTCCATAAAGGTGAACAATGCGTACAAAACATCATTTTGGAAAGATGATTGGTTGGGTAGGGGGTGTCTGATAGATCTACCCCTTACTGGCTAAGCAACATCAGATGACGGTAGCAGATGCATGGTCCTTGCAGAGGTGGAGCATACAACTCAGAAGGAATTTAAAAGACTGGTAAGTGGGTACATTGACTGAGTTCTACAAAAGCAAGAAGAATTTCAAAAGTTCACAGGAGGGTACAGATTGTTTATGCTAGAAAGAAAACAGTACGGGACTCTTTAAAGTAAGTTCAGCTTACAAGTTATTGAATCAAGATAATCAACAGATAGCTCATTGGTCTTGGAAACACATTTGGAAAGTGAAAATATCTTTCAAGGTCTCTTGTTTCACATGGTTATTAGCACATGAAGCTGCTTTGACCAAAGATAATCTTAACAGGAGAAAGATCCTCCTTTGTTCAAGATGCTTTCTTTGTGGGGAAGAACGTGAGACAACCATCTATTCTTACGTTGCAAGGTTACAGATCAGCTATGGAGGATTTTCACCAACCTCAGAGACATAGCACGAACAATGCCCAGGAAGATAATTGAGGTTCTGCTTTGTTGGGAGGAGGCTGGAGCAGGAGTTGCAAACAAGGATAGAAGAAGGATTGTCCCAACTTGGATATAGTGGACAATCCGGAAAGAAAAGAATTCCAAATGTTCTGAATAGCAGTTCAGTACAAAAAATCAAATTGAATTGCATTAAACTTCAATTTCTGGTGTAGACAAATCTACATAGAAGATACTGAGTTGATCATAGATATCCTAGGATTCTGCTAGGTTTTGATCCGTTGTTCTTACTTTGCCTTGTAAGTATGGTTTCAGCACAACCTTTGTGTTGTTTTGGTCAATATACAAATGTTACTTCATCAAAAAAAAAAATGCTCCAAAATTTATCCAGAACAAGTCAACTATTATTGCCCATTTATCAGCTATCCTGATAGTCTAGGCTGAGAGACAACTTTCTTTCTTTAAATGTCCAGAGTATCCTTGTTTGCCAGAACAAGAGGTATACTTTGTCCTGCTTTAGTTGCTGATAGCCTAATACCACAGTTAGAGCTGAAAGTTGGTTGTCAGGTTCAGGTATAATTTCCTGTTACTTGGTCGTAGCTGATAAATTGGAGCTGTGAAACAACTATGACCATGTCTGTACATGTTTGATAAATAGCTTTTAACATGGAAAGAGTCTAAGTGGGCAGTGTTTTATTCGCATACATGTGTATAAAATTATTCATTCCCATCTTGCAGTGGGCAAGCTACTTTTTCTAAATCACACATTCAGAGTATAAATGCAATCAAGCTCATACATACTCAGAATATAAATGCAATTTAATGATCACTTGGAAAATGTTAAGTGCTATGTATTTGACAAATGGCTATTCCTACAATTAAAAAAGCTCTTGGTCCTTTAGATATACTTAAAGTTAGTAGAAATATGATAACGGAAGCGCTTCTGGAAAAGCTCAAAGCCCACTTCCTTTCTCTCTTCAGTCTGAATAGATACATCACATACTAACAGTCAAACTGAATTAAACTCAAAAGTCTTTACAAATCGACCACATAAAAGCCATAAAATCCTTTCAGCACTGATGATAATTGAACACCACATACAACTAAATAACAAGGGAAGCCCATGGAAGGAAAAAATGAAAAAACAAGATCCCATCACAGAAAATTTACACAAGTATACTCAAAAATCCAAAAAGATCAAAACATGCCCAAAAATTAAAAGATACACAAGAAGAGCACTAGCTAAAAAAAAAATCCAAAATGCAGAAGGGATGAATCTCCTACTCTTACATAACACACTCTAAACAACAAATTGCTGAATTAAGATCATCCTGTATTTATAACAAAATAAGTGAACTAAGGTTAAGCCGGAAAAAAAAATAGTCAGATAAAATTACCAAGTGCAAAATTAAACATAAAAGCTCCATCACACAATATAAGAAAAGAAAATCCAAGAATCAGATCATAGCACAATGAAGTTAGATAAATAGAGAAACCCATAATCGTACTTGATTAAAAAAAAAAGAACCCATAAAAAGAAGAGAGTGTGTTACCAGAAAAAGGTCTTCAAGAATGTGTTCAGGTAAGAAAGAGAGATCAGAATAGGAAGAGATATGAAGAAGGGCAGAGTCAATAGCGAGAGAAAGAAGGGAAGGCGGGTCGGTTCTCATTCATTTAACCCTTAAATTACTCCGATACTTTCTCTCTCACATACTCTCTTACACATGTGACTCACCCAACACAACAAAGCACTTGTTTACATCTAAAGATTTGTATGTTAATGGGAGAGAGATGGAGTTGGAAGCTACCAGGAAATTCGCAAAACCAGTATCTCAAGTTTTTCTTTTTCCCTTTTCCGCTTCTTCACATAAGGTTTTATAATTAGAAATTCACGTAACTACAAGTCAAATATCATATTTTCTTTGTTCTCTTTCTAATGTTTGATTTCCAGATTATAGTTTTAATTTAATTTAAATTGTACTTTATTAAATTCATTTGAGTACAAGACTGCCAACAGATTTGTCCATACTTCAGATTCGAAATCAAAATTTTTAATTAAAAATAAAATAATATCATTATTACACTATGAATTATGTTGATAGTTAACATCGTATAAATTTTATACAATAATAATCTACCTCATAATCAGCTACGAAGCATAGTATTCCATTTGGGGTGTCATTATATGGTATATATCGATTTACCATATCATTGGCTTGTTTGAACATCATGATTTGGTATTATGATATTTGATATGGTATATGACATATATTTTAATTTTTTTTTGTTTTGAGATTTTATATATATATATATATATATATATAGAGAGAGAGAGAGAGAGAGAGTCCTTAGCCAGCCTACGCAGCGCCATCACAAATCAAGATTCCCGTTTTATTTTATTTTATTTTCAAAATTAGTTTTTCCTTTTTTTGAAAAGTTACGTCTTTTATGAAAATTTGTGGCGTTTATGAAGAGTCATCACTTAATGAAAAGTTGTGTCTTTTATGAAAGGTTGTAACCTTTTCGAAAGGTTGTAACTTTTTCAAAGAGTTGTAACATTTCTGAAAAGTTGTCTTTTATGTAGAGTTGTCACAAGAGATTTTCAGGAATTAACAAGAGATCTTCAGGAATAAATTAATTTAGCTACTCATGAATATAAAATGGTATACCTGTTTTTGTAGATCTTCCGACATAGTTGGTTTGTTCTCC